AAGTCCTCCAAAACCTCCAGCAGATGGTCTCCTCAAGTCCTCCAAAAACCTCCAGCAACTGGTCTCCTCAAGTCCTTCAAAACCTCCAGCAGCTATTCTCATCAAGTCCTCCAAAACCTCCAGCAGATGGTCTCCTCAAGTCCTCCAAAACCTCCAGCAGATGGTCTCCTCAGGTCCTCATAAACCTCTAGCAGATGGTCTCCTCAAGTCCTCCAAAACCTCCAGCAGCTGTTCTCATCAAGTCCTCCAAAACCTCCAGCAGCTGTTCTCATCAAGTCCTCCAAAACCTCCAGCAGATGGTCTCCTCAAGTCCTACAAAACCTCTAGCAACTGGTCTCCTCAAGTCCTCCAAAATCTTCAACAGCTGGTCTCCTCAAGTCCTTCAAAACCTCCAGCAGCTGGTCTCCTCAGGTCCTGGATGTTTACAGATTGTTGTTAAAAGAAGAGGGGGAGCTTCATGGTGGAACATATGGACCTGGAACAACTCATTTGAGACGTTTATTGTGACCATCAAATTCAAAATGACCAGCTTTCTTCCCACAAATGGTACAACTTCATGGTTTAAACATTTGTTGTGTTTATTATGTTCCACTGTGAATAAAATATGAATAGTATTATATCTATATATATATATACTTTGTATATCTACATACATACATACATATATTATAAAATATCTCATGAAATTTACAAATCATAGATTTCTGTTCTTCATTTCACACCAACAGCTCAGTGTTTCCAGGATCAAGGATGCACATTATGAATCTCACAGGTTTTTCATTCTGTAGTCTCTCACCAGATCTCCTCCAGTGGAAAGAAGTTTTAATAAAACATGATTGTGGTTTTTTAAATATAATGTTAGACCTGAGTGAGAGCGTGCACGTCATTTTTAAAGATGGACTGAAGACTTGTCTGACTCTTGATATTTGGACAGCTCTTGTGTTAAGCATCGGACCAAAGGATGATCTTCAACAAGTGATTATGTTTATTATTATAAATTGTTATTGTGTTAATTGATGTCCAACCGTGAGAAACTCACTGATGCGTTTTTTTGTGTTGACGTGAAGCCGTGCAGCCGGTCCGAGGCCGGCGGTGTTGAAGGCCTGAACAGAGGCGCTGTAGTCCCCCTCCTCCACCAGAAGAAGAGCCGATGTCTCGGTGACGTTTTGGGTCAGCCGAGGATTGACGATCACCTGGTATCCAAGCACACGACCCTGAGGCTCACCAGGGTCGGGAGCCTAAAACAAGAAGAGAGACTTTTACATGAAGGCTAAAACTTTTTATTGTTTTGGTCCTCCTGAAACTGCAAGAATAGCTGAAGCCTTTTAATTTAGCTAGTTTTAAAACACTCAAATTAAAACATTGTTGTGTTTTATTAATTTTTATGACGTACTTTTGTTATTTAAGTTGCGTAACGCTGTTAATATTGTGTTTAACATTGTAGAATAACAAATTTTGTCAGGCTGTAGGGGATATTGTACTTTTCTTCAACAAATCATGAATCAAAACATTCAGCTCTTTCAGGACAATCCTGCTCTGACTTTTGGTATTGGTGCAACTTTAGCTTTTTGAAATATTTAGCCTTTTCTGTCATTTTTTTCCTCATAGAAACTGAATTGAGCTCATTTTTACATCCTTCAAATCTTTAGATCTGTTTGCAACCTTTTACTGCTCATTTCACATTTTGTTCTGGTTCAGCTTCTTTCAGCTTATGTGCAAATTTAAGCTTTTTTTCAGCTGTTTTTTTTTTTTTCCAGCTGTTCGGAGTTCCTTTCAGATTCTTTCTGCTAACTACAACATTTCTGTGCTTCTTCTAACTTCTTTCTGCTAATTTCAGCTCCTTTCAGCTTATTTCAGCATGTTTTAGCTTTTTCCACTAATTAATTCAGCTACTATATACAGTAGATGTTTTTCTGCTAATTTTAGCCTATAAAGTTCATATTTTTTGGACTCATTTAACATTTTCAGCCTAATTCAGCAAAAAAAAGAGCTCTCTTCATTCTGGTAATTTCAGCTTCTTTATGGCTTTTTAAGCTATTTTTCAGCTTTTTTTTTGTTTGTTTGTTTGTTTTTTGTTGCTAATTTCAGCTTTTTTCAGATAATTTCCACTTTTTTGTGCCCATTTCTGCTTCTTTTATTCTATTGGGTGAACATGTTTTTTCCCTGTTAATTTAAGCTTGTTCTACCTTTTCAGCTTGTTTTAAAGCTTTTTTTTTTTTTTTAGCTAATTTCAGCCATTTTCAGATAAATTCAAGTTTTTCATGATAATTTCTGCTACTTTTAACCTAATTAAACTCTTTCTGCTACTTGTTTAGCTTGACCTTAAGCTTATTTTGCTCCTTTCAGCTTTTTCTGCTATTACAGCTACTTTTTAGCTGTTCTGTGCTAAATTTAACTTTTTCAGCTGATTCCACATTTTTTTAGCTCATTTCAGCTCCTTCCACTTCCTTCTGGTAAGTTTAAGCTTCTGCTTTTTCCGCAGCTTTTGCAGCAATTTTTTTAAAACTAATTTCCATTTTTTTTAGTTATTTTCCAAATATTTCTGCTAATTTAAACCTATTTCAGCAAATATGTTCTTTTTTTTCTGCTAACTTAGGCTTGTTCTTCAGCTACTTTCAGCAAATGTTTAGCTAATTTCAGCAATTTTTCAGCAAGGTCTTCAACAACAAGCATTCACACTGCATTTTTGCAGGAAATGCAATTTCTCTAGTTTTTATCATGTTTTAACAAACCGTAAGTATATTTACATACAATCAAAATCATGTGGTACAAATAAATATAATTTTAAAAAGTATAACAGCAAACTTTTTAGAACTTTTAACCTTTTCTTCAAGTCATTTGGTTTTGAAATAATTAAACAGATATATTGATAACTCTTTACTGAAGACATTAAATATAAATAAAGATGTGGATTTTTTTCTCCATATCTTTTGCGTTTACTTTACTTTTTGCGTTTTGTTGTTGTTGTATTGAACGTTTTTTTTTTACTTTTGCGTCTACCTTCCACCTGAGATGAAGGAGAGGTTCAGCAGCATCGTTTGTCTCCACTCTGTAACAGACCTCTGAGGGCCTGGACGGCACTAACAAAGACAAAATAAAATCTGATGTTTATTTTTCTGAAATAATTCATGAAATACACAAATTATACGTGATGTAGCTAAAAACTCATTTATCCCTGTTCAGAAGCAAGTGCACATATGAAAACTATAAAATTAGCACAAAAACAGACACCAAAGAGGAAGTTTTATAAATAAATCACAACCAGTTGTGCAGATCTTTTGAACTCGGAGAGTTTATCCGACGACTGTAAACTCTCACCTCTGTCCAGCGTCCGTCCGGTTGTGCCGGAGCTCCACTCGCTCCAGAAGCCCAGCTCGCCTCTGCAGGCCACAGATGCTCTGTACACGTTAAACGGCAGCAGGTTTCTGATCGTGTATTTCAGGTCCTGATCTGCGTGTGCAGCAACTACATCTGAATTCTGGCAGATAAAAAGAATAAATACGAACAAAAACTAGATCAGAGCTTTAAACTGTGCGGTTCCACAGCTGAAAAAACTGGAGTACGATTAAAAGAGCAGACAAAACTAAAAACTAAATGTCTTGGATTCTTTCTTTATTTTTGTCTCTAATAAAATAAAATCCAAAGAAATAAGACTCACGGTGTTTTATGTGAATTCAGCACATCATCACAGCCTCTTCTAACCTGCAGCTAAAACTTTGACTGAATCAATTTCATGATTTTGAATGAATCCTCCTCAATAGGATTCGTTCCTAAACCCAACTAAGAAAAAAGAAGCAAAACTGGAGCAAGTAAAATAAACGAGATGTAGAAAGAAGTGGCCATTTTCTTTGTGCTGTGACCTTTGACCCAACATCCCTCCATCCACCACATGAAGACCTCATCACTAACTGAACACATCAAAATGCTGTTTGCTGGTACTGACCCGTTGGACCCACTGAGCGGTTCCAGCTAAAGAAATGAACCTGAAGTTGTTTTAATTATGCCGACCTGGGTCCACTGATGAGTTCTGATGGGTCTGTAGCGAAGACGACAGAGGCCGTCGACGCTGCTTTTCCACGACACGACGAGAGAGTCTTCAGTGGAAGCGAGGACCGTCAGAACGGCCTGACTGGGTTTGACTGAGGAGACGGAACAGATTAAATGATCAGATTAAATGATCAGATTAAATGATCAGATTAAATGATCAGATTAAATGATCAGATTGAATGATCAGATAATACGGAGTCCTCAAAGTGACAAAGGTTAAAAAAATCACAAAAAGAAAAAGTGGTTTATGACCATGTAACAGTAACATGTGAACACAGCACACTGGCATGTGCACATTTCAAATGAACGTGCAAACAGTATATTAACAAGTGCATACAGTACACAAACATGTGCAATCAATAAAACAACATGCACACAGCAGGTGTGCACCCACCATTAAAACATGTGCACACAGTATCATAACATGTGCACATAGCATAACATGTGAAAAACAGCATTGTAACATGCTGTGTGCAAATGTTACAATGCTGTACATGTTATTTGGCATGTAGCATGTGCACTCAGCATCATACCATGTGAATTCAGTATCATACAATGTGTGCGCTCAGCAGTGTATCGTGCACACAGCAGTGTAACGTGCACACCGCAGTGTAACATGTGCACTACAGCAGTGTAACATGTGCAGACAGCAGTGTAACATGTGCACACAGCTGTGTAACACGTGCACACAGCAGGGTAACATGTGCACACAGCAGTGTAACATGTGCACACAGCAGTGTAACACGTGAACACAGCAGTGTAACATGTGCACACAGCAGTGTACCATGTGTACACAGCAGTGTAACATGTGCACACAGCAGTGTACCATGTGTACACAGCAGTGCAACACGTGCACACAGCAGTGCAACACGTGCACACAGCAGTGTAACACGTGCACACAGCAGTGTAACATGTGCACACATCAGTGTAACATGTGCACACAGCAGTGTAACACGTGCACACAGCAGTGTAACGTCTTTGTTGACTGAAATTGTGAATTAAAAGCTTCTTTCTGACTTTCTCTTTTAAATAATTAAATTAAACGAACAAAATAACATTTGTCAGACCTTCAGCTAAAATCTGCTACATTTTGTACTTTGTTCATTAAATTCCTGTTTGATGGAAATTTTAATCTTGTTTTTCCACAAACGATCGTGAGCACAGAAATAATCTTCCTTGCCCACGATAACAAACAACGATCTTTAGCTGATGACACTTCAGGGTCTTTGTGGAGACGTGAACCTGCTGCGAAGAGAAACACAGTTTGAGGCCGAGACCAGATCTCCCCCCCGGTCTCGTAGTCCTTCATTCTGACCGTCACATTGAGGACAGCAGCTGGGTTAAAGACGCCCCCACACCATGTGATTTTAGACCCACTGAGGAAGACAAGCAGAGCAGGGGACGTTAAAAGCTCCACGGTTGGTGAGCAGGTGTTGCTTCAGAGATTACTGAGCTCACCTGCTGAAGATCAGGGAGGAGTCAGGCTGAACCTGTGACTCCTGACCCCACGCGCACGTCACGGATCGGACTCTGTCAGTCATTTCCTGGTAGTAACAGGTCACATCCAGGGCCTCTGCAGGAAATGAAGCTGCTCGGGTTAAACTGTTGATCACTTGTGACCTCAGAGATCCCTCAGAGGTCACGGCTTAAAACCTGATCATTTACTGAACAAACACACACGTTTGTGTTTTACTCGTGCGTGTGAGCTGCAGTTAAAATCAGTTTTTTATCAGAAAATTTATCATCTAATTATTCTGTTGGAAGACTAAATCTAAAAAGAGACAGGAAACAAAGTTTTAGTGAGTTCTCACTCTGTAGAGACAGAGGAGGTCGAAGGTCGCAGTCCCTGAGGCTGGTCACGCACAAACGCTCGTTTTTCTCACACGACCTCAGCTGAGTGTGTCTCACTGTGATTTCTGTCAGAGGAAAACACAAAAACAGGCGGAGAGGAGTCACAGCATCCGGTCAGTACGTGGAGCTGAGGAGAGCCAAACTCAGAGACCTTCATCAGAGGTCATCAGAGGTCATCAGAGGTCAGAGTCTCCACTCCAGACATGAATTTAGACAAAGTTCAGTTTAATTCACCACAAAACTGGGAGGAACTTCCTTCAGAATCACATCCACATGTTAATTATTTCACACTATATTTTGCCTGTTTAAATCAGGGCTTCTCAGCTTGTTGGGTTCAGGGACCCCTCACCTCATGTTTATTAAATAATCGTCTTCAATTTGTCTCTTTAATGCAACGGAAATATCTGTGCAACATAAATACTTCAAACCGGTTCTTTAATAGTGTTAATGCAAATTTTATACTTTTACCCATGAGGTACTTTTCATACAAACAGACAATTTTATTATTATTATTTCTTAATGCGGACCCCAAACACTGGCTCACGAGGACCCCAGTTTGAGAACCACTGGTTTAATAGTTTTACAGATTCTAGTGTTCATTTTCTTCTAACTTTTTATGTTTCCTAAATAAATCTTCAGATTTTTTTTTCTCCTAAAAGTCTTCGGCCATCTTGAATTCAAATGACTCTAAAAATTAATTATTATTATTATTAGGTAATTAATTTTCATGAAGGGGAAAAAACAGACAAAAAACAAAACAAACAAACAAAAACACCAATTTGAAGCTAAAAAGCTAAACATTAGTCAAACTCCATGCATTAATCACTTCACTCCACTCACTAAAAACTTTTTGTTTAAATAAAAAATATAAATTAGAGATGCAAACAAAGAGCTAAACCCTGTGAAGAACAAAACTCTGAACTGATCAATAAAAGTGTGGAAAAAAAAACCCCCACTGGTAAAACATTTAAACACAATATAAAGGTGTAAATGTGTAAAAATCATTTCATCTAAATTTCTTTAGAAATAATTCAGCTCAGAGTCAAACAGCTGAAGAACTGTTTAGAGAAATGTTTCAAATGAAACTCACCGAGAGAAAACACGCAGAGGAGGCTCAGAGTCCTGACGACAAGGTGGAGGTTCAACAACCAAAGGTCCATTTTAAAAACAACAGTCAAACATGACCATCCATGGGGTTTCTTTAGCTGCTGTGGCCTGTTTGAAGCAGCCGAAGGATGAGTCCTGCAGAGGAAACCCTCAAATGAGGAAGATGAACTGACACTGCTCAGGAAATTGCTGAGTGGAAAAAGAGCACGACCACTATCATTACATCTACATTACAACAGTGCTACCAGAACCCATTTCCTGCGTAACATCACTAAATACAGAAACATCTTAACATCTGCAGCTAAAAATGATGCAAACTGGTTCATGCATTTGTCACATCTAGACTGGACTATTGCAATGGTTTGTTATCTGGGTGTCCAAATACGTATTTAAATCCAAAATGCTGCTGCCAGAGTGTTAACTGGAGTTACTGGGAGAGATCATGTCTCTCCAGTTTTATCTTCTCTCCACTGGTTCCCTGTCAAGTTCAGAAATGAATTCAAAATCTTACTTGAAACCTACAAAGCTCTCAACAACCTAGCTCCATCTTATATTACAGATCTTATTGTTCCATATTTTCCTAACAGAGCACTTCACTCTCAGACTGCAGGCTTACTTGTGGTTTCTAGAGTTTCCTAAAGCAGAATGGGAGGACGATCTTCCAGTTATCAGGCTCCTCTCTTGTGGACCCAACTTCCAGTTTCTGTCCGTGAGGCTGATGCATTGTCCAGTTTTAACACTGGGATTAAAACTTTTTGATAAATCCTATGGTCGGCTTGGGTTTCCTGATCCATCCCTTAGTTATGCTGCTATAGTTTTAGACTGCTGGAGGACAAATTGACCACATCTCCTCTCTCTGCTGCTGTTTTTACCATACCTGTTTGTATTTGTCATTATTTCTATCTTAACATGTTTTTCAGTCTTTCCTCCTATAGAAAGTGCATCTGTCATGTTTGTTTCCACTTCCTGTCTTTTCAAACTCAGCCAGATGACCACTCGTCCTGAGTCTGGTTCTGCTGGAGGTTTCTTCATGTCAAAAGGGAGTTTTTCCTTTCCACTGTCTCCTTTGTGCTTGCTCAGGATGGGAGACTGAAACAAAGTGAAGATTCAACTCAATCTGCCGATTCTTCAGATACTTTTACTAATTGTTTATTTTAATTTTAATGTGCATTAATGTTTTTGTTCAGCACCCTGAGTCGACTTCTGTTGTCATTTGGAGCTACAGAAATAAACTGAATTGGATTACACTATTTTAAAAAATGCTCATATTTTAAGGTTTTACCAACAAAGTCAACATTTGTAATCGATCAGAAATGTGTTTAAAGTTGTGAAGAATTTTTACAAAAATAAAAGTCTGTTGGGTTCTCAAGTTTTCCCCCAAACATGAAAGTCTTTAACAATCTCTTGGTTTTAGCGGAACTTCACCTTTCTAACATCGGTTCTTTCACACTTAAAAAAAAAAAAGTTTAGTTTTTATGTTAAAGCTGCGTAATAACCAATTTCTAACCATCAACATGAGCTTGTTTCTTCAGATCGAGCTGTCAAACTCAGAGGGTCAAAATTTAAAACTTGTATCGCCAATGGACCAATCTGTCCATATTTATTGAAAAATACAAAAATAAAGATTGCTTTTGAGATGGAATATATCAAGTTATTCATGAAAACACAATTGAATTACACGAAGAAAATAAAAGATCAAATTTAAAGACACATTTGCATTATTCTTATGCCTTGCTGCCCAGACACTTGTTCATGTATTAGTTTTTATTTATTTATAATCATCGTTTTGGAAAAAATTGAATAAATAATTTAAAGTCCCAAAAATAACGACATTCATCTTCAAGATGTTTGAACTTCTGACTGAACCCTCCTGCTGCCCTTGGGTTAAACTAACACGAGTCGTCACTTCCAAACGGTCATTTTGACCCAAGGACAGCAGGAGGGTTGATCAGAAGTTCAAACATCTTGAAGATGAACGAGGGTTGATCAGAATTTCTTCAAGCTGCACCAATAAAAATAAGACAGACAAGAATTTAACAAAACCTTACAGCTTCTTTTTTATTTCTCTCCTTTCATTCAAAGCAAAATTTCAGCTCATCTCTAGATTTTTCTCCTTTTCTTATTAAAAAACAAACAAACAAACAAACAAAAAAAAAACGTTTGAAAATGACGGCACAAAGAAAGCAGACGAAAATAAAACCAAGAAACTTTGTACAGATGATGTTCGTCGTGTGTGTGGAGATAAACGAGCTCCTGAGCTGCGGCGGAGTTAAATGTTCAACAAAACCACTTCTGTCCCGCTCCACGGCCTCAGAACCCTCTTCACACGACCCGGACAAACGTCCAACTCCCCCTCGTTAGTCTCCACGTCTGGTTTCAGGACCGGTTGAAATAATTTACAAAAGCAGGAAAACAAAGTCATGACGCTCACGGTGTGACGAAACGCTCACTTCAAAATAAAACGACACGTTTCCATTAGGGTTCCCACTGGACCTGACAGACATTTCAATGGGACAACTGGAGCTGTTTTAGCAGAAAGAAACGATTTCTTCATGATAAACATTAAAAAATATCGTATTTTCTTAACTTTTAAATCAGTTTGAGTTCAGGCGTTTTATGTCGACACTTGATTTTAACAGTCTGAGCTGGTCCACAGGATTCCTGCAGAGCAATACAAAGAAACTCCATCGTTTCATGTTGGATTTTAATTAGTCTGACATGAGCGACCTCCTCAATTCACTGCAAACTAATTAAAAAATAAAAATGTGCATTCGCCTCAGTCTGTGCTAAAGTCCTGACTCAGAGTGTGTTGAGGTTAAAGCTGCAGCTGCTTCCACCCCAGGAAGTATCTGTACGTTTTGTGGCAGTAACAAAACGTTAAACTCTGTGAATATTCTGCTGCACCTTTTTCATCCATTCCAACTTCAATTTTCAGAAACCTACCCCTGTATAGTGTCAGCCATTTTTATTCACAGCAGCTTCCTGTTTGCCGTCAGCCTTGTGTTGAATCTGGACAGTTTTTCACCAAACATCACCTTTAATCTATAAAACCTAACTGAGCCCTTCTGGTTGGATGCCTCCCTTTTTTTTTTTTTCACGCTTCCACTTTGGTACAATCATATAATCATATTGCCTCTTTACGTCCGATTCATTATTGTCTTTAGCAAACACGAGGACTTTAACAGCAACCGTTCACTTATGTCTCCGCTGAGTGACCTCTCCAGTTCATGATTAGCAGGGAAGGAGGAAAGTGTGTTTAAAAGTAAACAAACAAAAACAGATCAGGTTCAAGTGAAATACGAGGAAAAAAAAAAACCCCACACGACAGAAGAGACGAGCAGCAGCCGTCACAAACACCCTGGTTGTGTTTTCAGGCCTCAGCTGGAGCAGAGCTTCAGTCTTCAGAAGTACACGATGGGACTTCACCCAAACTGGACCGAGCGTTGGGGTGGGGTGAACTCGACAGGATTCAGTCCGTGTGTGTGTGTTCAGGTCAGTCTGTGTGAACTGGTGTGTGTTATTTGTTGCGCAGAAGCTCCAGCTGATCCTGGTACTCGGTGAAGAGTCTCTGAAATCGCAGGTTTTCGCCGATGACGGGTAAAACCTCCCGCAGTAACTCCCGTTTACGCAGCCCCTGAGCAGACAGGAAACAAACGTCACCGACAGAACCGCTGAAGCGTCAATCAGCACCACGGCCTCATCTCTACTCCCATCAAACCAGAGCTGACAAACAAATGCTAAACCAGTTTAAAAACATTTTCTCTGCACCCTACACCCCCACTACACTTCCTGTTAAATTTCTGAAAACATGATGCGAACATGAAATACTTAGAAACAAAATGATTAATTTTATGATGTTACGTGGACTAAATATAATACATTTAACAGTGAAGACAAAAATGAACGAAGGCGGCAAACATTATAAATCTTAAATGAGCTTGCTGCCACCAACAGAAGTGGAGTACCAGAGTTGTCGGCTCCCAGGATGTAGCGGCCGATCTGTGGACGGGACCCAGGAGCTCCTTACAAAGTTCCCGAAGACGATACTCCAGGCCTGGAAGGAAAACACAAACTGTCAGGAAAAACTGGACAACTACCTAAAAACACCGTTAACATCTGGAGTCCATGTGATTCAAAATGGTCGCCACTGCCAATAAAACTTAGCAAACAGAAAAAAATGGTTAAAACTGTAAGTTTGACTAATATTGAGATTTACACCCGATACATCTGAGCACCAGCAGACCACGCAGGACTCTGGTTTAAAACTTTGGCATAAAATGATGCAGGCAACATGTAGCTCTGTCGGTCAGGGGTGCCCAGCACGTCGATCGTGATCTACTGGTAGATCAAAAAGGCATTATGAGTAGATCACGTGGCATTATGGGTAGATCACGTGGCATTATGGGTAGATCACGTGGCATTATGGGTAGATCACGTGGCATTATGGGTAGATCACGTGGCATTATGGGTAGATCACGTGGCATTATGGGTAGATCACGTGGCA